AGTACTTCCCTCGTCTCTCCCCCAGAACTGTAGGTTACATTTCAGGGGTAACATGAACTACCCAAAACTGTGAGGGAGGCTGAGAAAAGTCAACATTTCTTGGCTAAAGGAGAAGGGCAGTAGTGTCCACAGCGTCTGCCTGACCCATGTGAAGTTACACTTAGTTGCAATTATATCACACAGAGATTTAATTCTTGCTTCCCACTTTGTTCCCTACTGTGTGGCCACTCGCAGTTTCTGTATCACTGTGCTTTGGTTTGGGGCTCGCTTAGACAAGTTTCATCAAGTGGCTCTGGCTGATCCAGAATTTTCTTGTAGATCAGTCTAGCTTCCAACTTGTGGCAATCCTCCTGTCTCTCCATCCCAAGTGCCAGGATGATGGGCGTGAGTCGCCCTAATCAACACTACATTGTCTTGATAACTCTCATATTTAGTGGTTTAGTGTTTCTTCAAGTGAACACATCACGTTGTACTTACAGGGAATTTACCAAGAGACCTTTTTCAATGCACCTTGTGTGTACAGGCGCACATGTGCGTACATGTGTGTACATATGTGCACGTGTGAAAGTTGTGGGAAACCTTGGGTGCTCTCCTCCAGAACACCATCCACTTCTTTTGAGTCAGGGTCTCTCATTGACCTGGGGCTTCCACTTAGATGGAGCTAGTTGGCCAGAGAACCCAAGGGCTCCCTTTCTCTGTCTCCCCAGTACTAGGACTACAAATACATGCCTGATTGTTTTATGTGGTGCCTAGGCAACAAAGGCAGGTCTTTGTGCTTGCAATGTAAGTATTTTAAACAACTGAGAAAACCCAGCTTTGGGCCTACCTTTTTTTTTAATTATAGAGAATATTCAGATCACTGCTTTTAGAAAATTGTGATTTTATTATTTATTCTTAATTTATGTGTGTGAATGTTTGCCTGCATGTATGAAGTGTACCATGTATATGCAATACCCTGGAAGTCCAGAAGAAGGCATCAGATCCCTGGAACTGGAGTTGCAGATGGCTGTGAGGTGCCATGCAGATGCTGGGATCTGGATCCTGCAGGAGAAGCATGTGCTCTTAACCAGCGAACCATCTCTCCAGCTCCATTGCCGCTTCTTTCATGCACAAAGCATTTACCATAGGATAAAACTCCTAGCGTCAAAGACCATATCTTTGATGCTATCATTGCTATTCCATTGATCTCCAAGGGGACTGTGCTGGTTTACACTGTAACAGTACCTAAGTATTCTTACTGACTTCATCACAACTGTGCCAGCACAGAATTTTATAGTTTAAGGAAATTTCCTTTTTGCCCAATTAATATAATAAAATAATATCATAAATTGTCATGTTTTTATACCTTTGATTAAAACTGAAGAGAAATATTATGCCTCATGATATGTATTTATTTATCATCATTATTTTGAGACAGGGTCTCACCAGACTGGTCTAGAACTTGCTCCTATATCTATATATAGTGAATATATATATATGGTATAGAATTTGCTATATAGATCAGGCTGGCCTTGAACTCACAGAGATCTGCCTGCCTCTTCCTCCTTTGTGCTGGGATGAAAGAGTGCACTACTATGCCCACCTCCCTAGTGACATTTTCTTCCTTCCTTCCTTCTTTCCTTCCTTCCTTCCTTCCTTCCTTCCTTCCTTCCTTCCTTCCTTCCTTTCTTCCTTCCTTCCTGATGCATGAATCTAATTTGTTGTTTGTTTGTTTGAGACAGGGTTTCTCTGTAGCTTTGGAGCCTGTCCAGGAACTAGCACTGGCCTCAAACTCACAGAGATCCACCTGCCTCTGCCTCCCAAGTGCTGGGATTAAGGAGTGTACCACCGCCACCCGGCCAAATCTAGTTAGTCTTAATCAATAAGAACCTGGAGTCAAGGTGGGCAGTTCCTCTTTACTAAACATCATTGGAGTCCCTACAGCTTTCATTTTTATTTTTCTCTTTTTATATTTACACACAGTACATATATGAAAATATGGAAGCAGGAGGGCAACGCGACCGGTCGGCACGGTCATCTACTGCTCTCCACCTTAGTGTTCTGAGACAATGTCCCTCACTGAACTTGGACCTTGTCGTTACAGCCAGGCTAGCTGGCCAGCCCCTGGGATTTTTGTCTTGGTCCTCTGAGCACTGAGGTCCTGGTACATGTAGGGATAAATCCAGACACTTAGGGGGCATGTTCGCATCGGGCTAATGTTTACCTATAAATCTGGGGGGGGGGGCTGTGCTCCCAGTCGCTGCTTATGCTTTCCTGGTCTCCGCAGGAACGGTGGTTCTGTAAGTCTATTTCCCCATTAAAGGTGTATATATTTTTACAATCTGTCTGCATTCATTTACGCCATTACAGGTACACACCATTACACCTAGCTTTTAGTAGATACTGTGAATCTGAACTCGGGTCCTTGTGCTGGAGAGCAAGCAATTCCCAGCCCCACACTGGAATTAACCTTACTCTGTAACTTGTCCTCTTTGTTTGATGAAGCCTTTGTTCATCTTCTGGAGGGAGAGACTCATTTTTTTCCCAACATGACTATGGGAATCCGCTCTGCCCTCATTGCTCCTGACAGTCTTATTGGGTACTGTAAGCTACTGGGGGGAGGGGAGGAACTCCTAGATGAGGGCCTGGGCTCATAAAGTTCATGCATATGTTAAAAGCAGTTTGTCTGGGTTCAAGTTCAATGCCTTCTCTTCCCCAGCATTGTCTTTCCTCAAAATAGCAGGTGTTCTTGCTGAAGTTCACATAGCACACCACCATCCGGCCAGAATACCACTCGGCGCTCTTCCGTGAGTTCACGGTTGGACAATTTTTATCACAGTCCATTTGAAAACAATCTTGTCACCCCCAAAAGGAACATTATGCCTAATATACAGAGGCACCAACCCCACAAATGTGAAACTGTCTTTAAGCTTGGAGGAAGAGGTGGGTGGGGGCTGTGTGAGGCTAGCCCAGAAGGCTTAGGCTATGCATGGACTTGCAACATGGCTGCTGTTTCTTCCCTATTCTGGCTTTTGGTTTCCTTGTCATACAAATAAGCATAGATTTTGTTTGAGGCAGAGGCTCATGTAGCCCAGGCTACCCTCAACACTTTAAGTCGCTTAGAAAAACCTTGAGGTTCTGATCCTTCCGCATTCTTTCCCCAGCGTTACAGCACTGGTTTACAGCGTCTGTTAATGCCTGCTCTGTGCAGTGCCGGGGAAGGAGCCCACTAGGAAAGCACTCTACCCACTGATCATAGGGATCCGCAGATGCCGAACCAGCTCAATAAAGGGGGACAGGAAGACAACCTAGAAACGTCGAAGCTGAGACCTAGAAGATGAACAAAATGAAGCAGAAAAGCCTTGGGGTTCCTGACTCTACCTGGGTAGAGAACAAGAAGATATTCCCCTCAGTCAGAAACTGAGGGAAGAAGGCAGGAAAAGGGGGACACGCAGGGATGGGTCATGGCAACCATGGGCAGGAGGCAAGGCTTTTTCTTGGACATGCCTGGAAGCCACAGAACAGTTCAGAAGGGAAGAGCGTGTGGCATAGGAACTCGAGAAGGTTTATTCCTGGAATCTTGTGGGGGAAGACAATGGGGCAGAGGAGAGAAGAGGTTGAGTGACTCTGGGCCCATCCTAGATACCCTCCCATGCCAGGATCAGTGGGGTGTGTCTCCAGTGTGGGAGCCAACCCCCTGACAATCACACACCTTCCCTATTCTCTGAGAAAGAGGTGACTCTCCGAGACCTTGGATAGAGAGACTTGTCAGAGTCACATGAGAGTTGGTGAAAGCCCAACTCCATTCCTGGTGACCCTGGGGTGAAGACATCCATGTTGCTGCAGCCTTCTGGCTGCAGGTCTGAGATTGGGCCAGACCCAGGTCCAGGGAGAAGGGCCAGTGTCCTCAGGTCACCCCTGAGGTGCCCCTGGCTGCTCTTACCTTTCCCATTTCACTCCTCAGACAATAGGCCTGATGGGTATCAGTCCTCTTCAGCCTCTGGGTCCAGTCCACAGAGACAATGAACCTGTCATGACCACCACCCCCAGAGGTGACAGATCACACTCACTGGTAGCTGGGCATCAGCCTCTGGGAAGAATAGAATAGGTAGGCCATGATCCAGACATCTGCCTGCCAGACAGGGCCTCGGGTGGAAGCCCATAGCCTCCACCCCCACCCCATGCTTCTTGGCCATCTCCAGGAGTGACCTTGGGAAATGTAGGCCCTGTGAAAGGGAGAGAGTTAGTAGGGGGCCTATAGGACTCTATAGAGAAGAGAAAGATAGATGTCAGGCTACAGCTTTGTCATGGGTTATGAGGGCATTTAGAGGCTGAGACAGAAAAATCACAAGTTTTAGGCCAGCCTTGGCTAAATAAGCAAGACAGAGAAATAAAATAGGGCCAGGTATGGTAGTGAATGCCTTTAATCCCAGCACTCAGGAAAAATGCAGTCTGATTTCTGTGAGTAGAGGACCAACCTGCTCTATCTGGCAAGTTCTAGGTCAGCCAAGGCTTCATAGTGAAGCCCTGTCTCAAAAATAAATAAAGAAAATAAAAATAACTATCACAGATTGTAAATTTAATGTGCTGCATATTTTACTACAGTTTAAAAAATGAAATTAGAAAAAAATAAACAATTATGTTGCCAGCAGGCTATTTTAACAAGTGTTAATTAGGCTTTGGCCAGAATACTGAAAGTATCCAAGCTTTACACCAAGTCAAAGCCACCAAGCCGGCACAGCAATCCCACCTCTTTTATACTGGTTGCAAGGAGAGCCTTACACATGCTCAGTGACAAGGTAACGTTCCTCACACGGGAGACAGTGTGAGCCATAGCAGTGCAGACCCAAGACTTTTGGTGGTGGGGTCATTCTGCCAGAGTTCCTCCCTAGCAGAAGTCCTTGCTGTTAAAACCACTTTGGCCAGTGGGATGGGGCCTCCTCAGCTTTCCCCTGCTCTACTGGAGCTTCCTTCTTTCCTAACTTCCATGCTAACTGTCCACAGTTTGCTTGCAAAGCAGGATGCACCAGCTGTCCTCAGAGCGGGTGGATGTAAGGCAGGGTAGGCTGGGGAGCAATTCAGGTTAGTCGTATACTGAGGGCTCCTCCCCTCTGGTCCCACTAACTTGGTCTCCTAAGGCGTCCAGAATTTCAAGGGCCCTTCAGCTTCCCCAAGTTCATTTTTTAATCCAAGTCTCACAACGACTCTTTCTAATGGGGAGCCTTCAACAGCAATGGCTGAAGCACAGAACAACAGGCAGGTCTCCCCCGCCAGGGCTAGAGGTTCTGTCCTGGACCCAGGGGAGGGGAGGGTCTCAAGGAGGAGTTACAGAGCCCCTCCCCTGTCCTAGGCCAGACTGGCTGACCTGCCATGCGGAGGAAACCACAGACATAAAGTAGACTGGAAAGATAGCACCATGATAAGAACAGGGGAGGGAACAACGGTAAAGGGAGACCCAGGTCCCTAGGTCTCATCTGCCTAGAGGGGATTTCCCTAGAGTTCTTGTGGAGAGGAGACCCATGGTGGCAGTCAATTTTTTTTTTTTTTTTTGAGCAAGAGAGGTGTGCTCCAAGGGGTTGGAGAGTACAGATAGAAGCAAGGGACACAGCACTCACTGAGCCCTGCGTCAATGTACACAGCATACAGTGATAATTGGACCTCACCACCCACTTTCATTGGAATGGGGCACATAGACAAAGGAATTATTTAAAATGGGGCAAAGTTTAGGAAATTGGTGATTTTCAGAGTGAACAACGATGTTCACTTCTAAGGCCTCCTGAACATAGGACTGATTTTCTGTATAAAAAAGGTCATGGATTACTATTCTGAGGGGCCAGACTCCCAAGTGGCATGAGGCCAGGACAATGTGTTGTCTAGGACATCTGTGCATGCCAGGGCTGGAACAGAGACCCAGGAGGCAGAGCCCTGTAGCTTGCCAGGAGCAGCCTCCAAATCACCCATGACTATCATATCCCCAATTTGTACATCCAGGTTATGATAGGCCTACCACCAGTGTTGGGTAACTGGAGTGACTGAGAATCCATCTTGAAGAAGGGACCATTGAAGGTGTGGGAAACTGGTCCAGGTAGTGGAGACTGTCATCAAAGGTCTCAAGGAACCAGAGTGTGAGTCTGGAAACAGGCCGGGCGGGCTTAGATGGGTGGGGTGCAACCCTCAGGTAGGACTGAAGGTTCAAGACCAGCACAGCTACGTGGCTGACCCTATCACAAACAAATACATAGGAAAACAAAGCCAGGCAGCTGCATGAGGAATGTAGGACAGGCAAGGCAGAAAGCCTGGACCACCAAGCTGAGAACCCAATGGTTTGAACTCCTGGCTTGTGTCTGCCTCACTCTAAAGAGTGGATTGCTGTAGTCCTTAAAACTCCCCGTTTCCTGAAGTTTCCATCCTGAAGACCATCCTTTTGTACAAGCAAGTGCCGCCCATTTTCCTGAACTCTAACCCCAGGGCTTGGCCTCCAGCCTGATGAGGTATGGGAACCAAAGAAAGGGGAGATTTGGACCCCCGCAGAACTTCCAGGAGGTAGCAAGGCAGAAGGCTGAGTTGCTTTCTTTTGCTGTTGTTCTGAAAGGGAGCCTCATGGAGCCAGGCTGGTTTGGAATGACTATGAAGTCGATGGTGTCCCTGTATTCCTGTCCCTCTCTCCATCACCTCCCAAGTTCTGAGACTGCAGTGTGTCCCCAATGCTTCATTAGGCACTGGCCAGGCGTGTGATTCCCACTGTCCCTTACCTGCCATTGCCGCATCCAGAATGATCTCCCTTGCTCACTTTCTCCTCTATCTTCTGGTACCTAATTTCTGGAGAGACTTTCCAAATGGCCACCACACATCATGATTATAAACAAAACAAAAGCCCCTACTGGGTGCTATGCCAATGACATTCACTCATGGGAGGGGTGTGTGCCCAATATCAAACAAGTGGGCTGCAGAGCCTGCAGCTTCCATGTCTCCCTTTGAACACACAGTAGACATTCAACTACCAAAGACATCGGGGAGATTCATCTTCTCTCTCAGATCAGAAGTCTCTCTGGGACTTCCTCTAACCACCCAGGTGAATCGAGGAACCCTTTGGCTGAAGGTTGGTATGAGGGGTCCTCACAGGAAGATGCCCTGTAGAGACAGCCCAGCTGAGTCAAGTGGTTGGCATATTGGTCTAAACTAAGCAGAAAGGGGAGGAGGCAGGTCTTCCTTCCGACCCCTGTGGGAGACCCCATGTCATTCCTGTTGTACAGAAGACTGCAGGGAGCAAGTCACAAAGTAGATAATTCTGTTCTGGCCCATCAGACTCGGAGCCCTTGATCTTGGCCCTTGTCCTCATCCAAAAGGGTGAGGTGTCCACAAAATTCTCTCCTGGGCTCATTCTCTAATGAGCTCCTGCCCCAGTGCCCCAGGCGAGGTAATGCAAGTTCACAGGACAGCAGCTGAGCTGGTGGCAAACCCAAGGGTACTGCGACCAGAGCTTTGGCCACCTGGCATTGGGGCTCCTAAACAGGACTCTCACTCCACTTTTGCCCAACTTGGTCTGGCTAGGACAAAAGAGGCCTTTCTGTGAAGACAACTACAGAGGCATAAGCACGGGCTCAGAATCTGGGGCAAGGGATGGAATATAGAGTCCATATAGTGGCCCCTCCAGAGATGGGGTCTCACGGTGAGCTTTGAGATGAGCTGAAGTTAAGTTATCGGTGCAGGGCCACCTGGAAGTGGGGCTTAGTCCCTGAGCAGGGGACCTGGAGCCCCAACATCTTTCTTCTCTGGGCTGGAGGTATCCCAAATTCCATGGCAGCCTTTGTGGCTGTGCCAGTCAGCGGCAGGCCCTGTGGCAGCTAGGGAAACTGAGGCTCTAGATCGCTTGTCATCACAGGTGCGCACACTACGGCTGCACTGGTCTGCTGACAGAACCGCATGATTGCCCGAGGCCCTGCCAGCGCTGGAGGCCCTCATAGCCTGCGAGTGCACGTTCAGTGAGATGCAGAGAGAGGCGACCACGCTCTTCTCCCTGGCTTCCCCCCTCCCCCACTGTAGCCAATGTTCTGCAGCTGCGTGCCTTTGCCGAACCCGGAGGCTCCGTGCATGCGGCGCTACTTGTGCAGAGTCATCCCGCTGGCACCATGTGTGAGCCACGTGGAAGCAGTTCAGCAGGCGCTGGGCGCTGTTCACTGACGGTAGGCGACACACCGGGGCTCAGGGACTCAGCACCGGTCATCTGGTGCCTTCCAAAGTATACTTGTGCTGGGTCAGGATCAAAATCTCCCAAGTGATGGGTTCTTGGTCTATGACACATTCAGTGGCAACCTCACTGACTTCCACCCATGGGACCGGGCCCTGAGCCCCGCGCAGGTGAGACAAGCTTGTGCCTGCGCGCAATCCCCAGGGGGCCTCCTCTTTCAAGAGGACCCAGAAGCTCTAAACTTCATGTCCCTGCTGTTGCTGGCCATGCGCGTGCGCCTGCTCTGTCCTGGTAGGACATGGGCACCTCCCTGCCCAGCCCAGCTGCTATGCCTTTCCCCTGGGTAGCCCACTGGGTCTAGTACGGACCCTTCTAGACACTCCAGCTTCCCGCTCAGCCTTTGTCAATTTGATCTCTCCCAGTTAGGGCCATGCCCTCTCCAGGACAACAGTGTCTGTCCTGAAACTGCCAAACCTTAATAGCTTAAGGCTTAGTGTGGGCTTGCTCAGTGCTGTCTTCAGCGCCCCTCTCAACACAGCACCCCATGGTTCCCACTCATGAGCAGGCACCTTTTATACCTGCATGAGTAAATGGATACAGTACCCACCGGGTAGAGAGCCAAGATGTGGTCTTGTCATCTTCCTACTCTGGCCAGTGCCCACAGAGGAGTGCCCCATGTGGAACACAGGATCCAGCACCAAGGGCTCTCTCTGAACGCTGCTTGAACCCACAGCCCTTTCTCTGCTGCTACCAAATAGGTGCACCTTAGCTGTGCTGTTTGTAATCTCCAAGGTTCAGATCTACGCAACAGGCAGGAAGTCCCAACAAACCTGGAGTGAATCTTATCTACATGACTCTGAACATTCTGCTGTGCTTCAGTTTCCCAATCCGGCACACTGTTCAGTTCTCCAGGCACTGCCACAGATGTGCTCTTCCTGTCCAAAGCAGCACATGGGGATGGTCATCGTACAGGCTGGCCCCTCTGGTGTCCAGCACATGGGGATGGTCATCGTACAGGCTGGCCCCTCTGTTATCCAGGGCCCAACCTGGCCTCCACTCTTTTGCAGAGACTTAGCAGCAGCTTCAGGACTTCCAGTCATGGCCAGATCAGGATGTCATCAGCAGAGTCAATGCTTTGGCCAGTGCCACTGTGGTAAACCCATCCCTGGAGCCTGGAACGCCTGCAGTACCGTGGGTCAACTCCCTGGACCTTATTTTCCTCACACACCTGAGGTGTTACAGAAATCCAGTTTGTTCCTACTCTTGTTTTAGAATCCCTGACAGCTGGGAGCTTGTGACAGATTTGATCCACTAACAAGACCCTGGTAGTGCCCAACTGTGACCCTGGAGAGCTCCCTCTTGTCAGTTGCTCCTCAGACCATAGCTTCTCCCAACCCCCTTCTCTGAAGCTCCTGGGATCCTGTCCTTGGACAAGGCTTCTAGCTTCCTAGGACTCTTGGAGAGAGTCCTGGCAGAAGAGAGATCCCCTGGGGCCTGCGGCCCTGCTGGCCATCCTGTACTTTCTGATTAGGCAGAGCTGAGGAGCCGGAGCTGCAGACCAAGCTCTGGGAGGAACTTCATGTTTGTGGCCAGGCTGGTCCTGGTGGAGCACTAATCAGCCGGTGTTTGGCTGTCTATCACGGAGGTGAGGCCGGCAAGGCCGGGCGGGATCTGGTCTTGCAGCTCCCTTATTGTATAACTGGACTAGTTAGCACCCATTTCTGGACTGCATCTCTCCATCCCGCAGGAGACGCTCCTTTAGTCACTGAGCGGAAATCCCACTTGAACACTGCACATAGCTAAGAATGGTATTAAGAGGCACTGGTGGATAAGGACCTTTCCCATATACAAGAATCTGCCAACTGCCACAAGTGGGGTGTCCTCCACGTGGAGTGGTCCACCCAACGCGTCTGCCTAAATCGCAGGCAGGGGCTCTGGAGAACAGGAATTGTCACAGGAAGGAGAGGTATTATAATACTCGTCCTTGCAAAGTGCTAGCGGGCTGAATCTGGAACAGGATACGAGGGTAAGGAGAAACGGCACAACCCAGGAGGCTGGTGCTAAGGAATGCATCACCAGACAGGTAGAGATGTATGAAGTCCACCTGTAACTAGGGATTTGGGGCACTGTGGTAGAGGAGGAAATACCAGACAGTGGACCTCAGTTTTCTCATTAGAGAATGGGCACACTTGCCTTGTTAAGACTGGATGTCTTTGCAGACTGGATGTCTTTGCCCAGCAGAAAGTGGAAAACAACTCAGTGAATTTTCTTGGTCCCCTCCCCTGTGCTCACTCCCACATGAGTTTGGGTTTTATTTTTGTTTTGTTTTGTTTTGTTTTTTAATAGGAGACTTGAGCACCTATTCACCCTGAATCAGTAGTGAGGGGAGTGGCCCTGAGGCAGCATGTTCCAGCTGGCACACAGGCCAGAAACCACACGCCATGCTAGACTTGCAGGCTGACTCAGTAGACAGTGGTTGGAGGGGTCTGAAGGAAGCAGTGGAAGCCAAGCCTTGATCTTGAAGCCATTAAAGGTTTGTAGCCAGAACCCCAAGCATCTCTGACCCCCAGGTCAGGGCCTGTGGTGGTGGAGCCTGGAGTGGGGGCAGGAGCAGAGCTACAGCTTCCTTCCAAGTGGCTGGTGGGTCTGTGCCCTGGGGACAGTGTGAGCACTGGCATCCCTGCTGGGCTCATGCTGACCTCTGAACAGACTCACATTCACCTTCAGACTTGCCTGACTGTGAGCAACCATCCACTCCCACAGCTAGCCTTCCTCAGTGTGCTCTCTGAGAGTTCACTCTCTGTACCTCTATGCACTTCATGCCATTCAGACTCCTGCCCACAATGCCCTTTCCCCTTGATCTCTGAGCAAATTCTTCCCTTGGAGCCCTGCTTGAGCAGAAACACACACACACACACACACACACACACACACACACACACACACACACACATTGAGTTCTCTCTTGGCAGGCAGGTCTTCCTAACATCTTAAACATGCCCCTATGTAATAGGACTGTCCCTCCTCTTCCTGTTGCCCCTGGGGTCCCAGGTGTATCTGAATATCCTGCCCAGGGCTAGACCCAAATTCACACTCATCAAGTGTTTGATCCCGGGCCTGGAAGTCCAAAGCCTGCACCTGATGGAGGCCAGCACTGCAGGGCACACATTCACCGCTCCTGGCAGGCATCCAGAAGTACCAGGGCACATCCACATCCCTGCAGGTGAAGTGAGGCTGCTCCTAGGGAATGGTGGGTGAAGAGGAAAGCTGTCTGGCTGTGCTTCTCTGAGAGGCTGCCTTCGCTTGCGAACTTGACAGTAGGCAGGGTCCTACTCAGAAAGCTCTGAAGAGCTACATACTTGAGTGATGGACTGGGCACTGTGGTTGTATGAAGAGGGGGAGGGCTCTCCATAAACTGGCGTGGAAAGGCTTTCATGGCATGGGGGTTTGATGTCATAGTTTGTAAAACCCAAACTTCCAATTCCTTCTTTCTATTAAACCCTTGGGACATTTAAAGAAAGCTTAAGCCTCTGTTTCTCACAGGGGGTCTTTCAGGGGCACACATACACCTACTGTGGCCACTGTATCAGTCTGTCTGCAAAGCCTCCCAAGACCCTCCATCAACCTGGTTACAGTTTCGTTCCTCACCTACCAGGCACCTGAACCCAGAAACAGATGTTCAAGTCCTTTAGGCAGCATGGAAGTTACAGTGAGCACACAGTCTCCTGGTTCACTCATGGAATCCAATACAATGTGTCGTTTGAAGTCATATTCTAAGATCTGCTTTAGGAACTCATGACCAGAAAAAGTCTCTACATGTTCAGGATAGAGGCATTATTTTGTTTAATATTTTCTTTGATCCTGTTGAAGACATGGAAGCAGAACCTGAGAATACAGTGAGTAGACTATATAAGTATGCAATTTACCATACTACTTAAAATGTTTTCAATTGCATTTTTAGTTATCATTTAAATAATGACTTTATTAGTTTTTTGAGGATCCTCTACACTGATTTCCATAGCAATGGTATTGGTTTACGTCCCCATCAGCAGTGCACAAGTTTCCTTTCCCTACGTCTTTGCCAGTGTGTATTGTTGCTTGTTTTCTGTTTTAGAAGATGTATTTGTAGCCAGGTGGTGGGAGCACATGCCTTTAATCCCAGAACTTGGGAGACAGAGGCAGGCAGATCTCTGAGTTCAAGGCCAGCCTGGTCTACAGAGTATCCAGGACAGTCTGGACTATACAGAGAAACCCTGTCTCAAAAAAAAAAAAAAAGATTTATTTGTATCATTTTAGGTTATATATACATGTGGGAGGTACAGGTATCCACATAGGCCAGAAGTGTTGGATTCTTGCTCCTGCCACACACCCCAGATCTGGAGTTATAGGCAGTTTGAGTTGCCTAACATGAGTGCTGGAAAGCCAGAGCTCAGCCTCTGCAAGAGCAGTGCGTACTCTTAACCCTAGTCGTCCCTCCAGTCCCCATTGTTTTCTTGATGATGCAGTGGGTTAGATGATGCAGTGGGTAAGATGATGCAGTGGGTAAGATGATGCAGTGGGTAAGATGATCTCAAAGCACTTTTGATTTGCAGTTCCCTGGTGACTAAGGGTGTTAGACCTTTTATTATATGTTTATCATATGTTTATTATATGTTTATCAGTCATTTGCAGTTCTCTTTGAACTTAGCCCATTTATGGATTGAATCATTTGTTTGGGGTGGGTTGGTGTTTAATTTTTAGAGTTCTTCATAGATTTTAAATGTTAATTCTTATCATATATATATATATCAAAGATGTTCCCATTCTGAAACCTGTCTTTTCACTTGACCCAATGTCTCTTTTTGTGCATTTTAAAAAAATTAATTCCATGCAATCCCATTTGTCAATTCTTTATTATATTTTTAAAGATTTTTGTGTATGTATTTTATGTGTAAGAGTGCTTTGTCTGCATGTATGCTTGTACACCAGAAGAGGGCATGCCATGTGGGTGCTAGGAATTGAACTCAGGTCCTCTGGAAGAGCAGCCAGTGCTCTTAACTCCTGAGTCATCTCTCCAGTCCCCCATGTAACATGAGGGCCTGCTTGTTGGGGTTTCTGTCCTGCCCAGTTCCCACAGCCACTAAATCCCAAAGAAAATCATGCAGAGGTCCATATAAATTATAAACTGATTGGCCCATTAGCTCAGGCTTCTTATTAACTCTTATAACTTATATTAGCCCATTATTCTTATCTATGTTAGCCACATGGCTCAGTACCTTTTTCTGTGGGGCAGGTCACATCTTTCTTCTTATGTGTCTGGGCAGGACTATGGGAAGAGCTTCCTTCTTCCCAGAATACTCCTGTTCTCATTGACCCACCTCAACTTCCTGTCTGGTTGTCCCGCCTGTACTTCCTGCCTGGCTACTGGCCAATCAGCATTTATTTAAAATATAATTGACAGAATATAAACCATTGTCCTGCACCACCCCCATTTGGCAATTCTTATTTTATTTGAGAAAAGATCTTGCTGTGTAGCCCCAGCTAATCTGAAACTTGCTATGTAAACAGTACTAGCATCAAATTTAAATAGGTACACTGTCTCTGCCCTTAGATGCTGAGACTAAAGGTATGCACCACCATGTCCAAACCCAATTCAGAGTTTCATGCATTATATTAAGGTTGAAATATTATGATTTTATGTGTGTGCACATGCTTGAACATACATGTACACGAGCCACACCAGTGTGTGTGTGTGCGTATGTGTGCACGCACTCATGTGTGTGTGTAGGTCAGAGAACAACTTACAGGAATTAGTTCTCCCTTTCTCCATGTAGGCTCCAGAACTGAACTCAGGTCATCAGACTTACCTGCTGAGCCATCTTACCAGACCCAGAATTGTTTTTTTTTATACAAAGTGAGAATTGGGGATCTAGTTTCATTCTTCTTCAAGTGAGCATCCATCTTTCTCAGCAATGCTTGTTGAAACGACTTTCTTTCCTACAATTTATGCTTGTGGTAACTTTGCAGAAAATCACATAATCACACACACACGCACACACGCACATGAACACACACACACTATGCTTATACCTGCCCCATGCTCCCGTACACATGCCACCACACACATGTGAAAGACATAGGACAACTTCCAAGAGCCAGCTCTGTCTTTCTAACCTGTGGGTCTTGGGGACTGAATCCAGGTTGTCAGCGGCTGCTTGGTACTCACTGTGCACCTGAATTCTACCACCTGCTTCTGCAACCACACAGCACTAGCTTTGCCATCCTGCTGCAGGTGTTTGAAGTCCAGGTGAGCAAGGGAGAGCCACAGCTGCACAGGGAGGTTATTGCAGGTAGCAAGGAAGGAAGCCATGCCAGTTCATCCTGAGATCCTGCACAGGCAGCTGGAGGTGAGTCAGGGACCAAGGCCCTGCTGGAAATTGGGCTTGGAGAGGACCTATGTGGGGAAATGGTGGGGTGTCTGGTAGAGATGTATGGGTTCAGGAGGTTGTCCTGGTGGTCATGACGAGCATGTAGATAAATCATGAGCCCAGAAGAGTGTGAGAGGAAGAGGGAACTCAGTCAGCAGGAAGCAGACTCCAGAGCAGACCAGGCGAGATGGACTCCCTGGAGCCAGAAAGGAGGTCAAGTTAGACAGTCGGTGCTGTGAGAAGACGCTGGTCTGGTAGAGGCCAGGAAAACTTACATGCTTCTGCCCTGTAAATGTCACATCATAACCCATTGGTGGCCTCATTTCTAACAGTTGTCTGGGATGCTTATGGTATCACCTGCCCCGCAGGACCAGCCCTAAGTGTGTCACTCACTTCCAATCCAGGACTGCTGAGTCAGTGGAAGCTTGCCTGGAGGGGTCGCTTTTAGGGAGATCCAGCAAGAAAGATACACTCAAGTGCTCATTTATTAAACACCTACTGTGTGCAGGCCTGGTCCCTAGTGGTTAGTACCATTGCCATCCTCGATCCCGGAGGAAGACCTGAAGTTCCCAGGCAGGGTGAGTCTGGTGCAAACCAGGATGGGGATGGATTCCTCGCTGTAATTGCTTGTCAGGGAGGTCCTGAAGAGGCGTCGATGCTGAGGACTCTGTCATTGTGGACTGTGACGTGTCCCTGTGTGTTCTTGCCACCACCTTCCTACTCTTCCTACTGGCTGGGTAAGGAAGTGTTCCATATCAGGGCTCTCTGTGTCTCAGGTTCCATAGCAATCCCCACGATTGGCCTGGGGCTTCCCTTAGGGTGAGCTGTGCCCCTTGCTGCCTGTATGAGCCCAGTAAGAGGGCACAGACAAGACCAGGCTGAAGGGCTTAAGGCTCACCAGGCTGCCCTCACAAGCCAACCCTTCTGCCTGCAGGGTCCCCACTTCTAAGTGGACCACAATCCACAAGAACCTCACTCTTTCCCTGACATCTGCTGAGGGCTTCCTCATGACCAGTGAGTGGGAAAAGGCCAACAAGGTGGGCAGCCAGCTAGTAAGCTCTGGGACCAGCAAAACATGGGAGGCCTTTCGGTCTCTCCTCCCACTGTTATTTGCTGATGGTGTCCTTGCCCTGGTGGGGAACAAATCCCAGGAGCCAGGCGGTGGTGGCGCACGCCTTTAATCCCAGCACTCGGGAGGCAGAGGCAGGCGGATCTCTGTGAGTTCAAGACCAGCCTGGTCTACAAGAGCTAGTTCCAGGACAGGCTCCAAAACCACAGAGAAACCCTGTCTCGAAAAAACAAAAACAAAAACAAAATCCAAGGGAAGAAAGACCCAGATGGCACAAGTGACAGAGCCCTTCCCCTGACTCCTATTTGGACAAGAATGCCAAGCTTGGTCCTGGGATCAAGCTGAGTTGTGTCCAGAGCTGACCTCAGTGGTGACCTCCATCTTCCCCTAGGTGGCCTGTGTGACTGTCACAGCTGCCATGAATCTTCTCTTTCTGGCTGCCTTCCCCTGGCTGCCGATGGAGCAAGGTGGTAGCTGTGAGCATGCACCCAGGCCCCAGGATGAGGATGCTGCAGGTTGGGCTGAGGACCCCTGATCCCTTCTCTTGTTTTTTTCTCCATTGCTTCCCAACACCTTGACCCATCCCCAATCAGTACCATTCAGCATCCAACAGCACCTCAGAACTGCCCAATACATAGCACCCAGCACCACTGAGCACCCAGCCCCCATCATGACCCCAGACTGCTTCGCCCAGCAGCACCTAGTACTCGTCTCTGATGTGAGCTCAGTTATTAGACTCTAGCTTTCCCCAGCCTGTTTCTCTCGAGCCCCCGCCACTCAGCAGCCTCAGCTCCCCACCTCCACTGTTTCTCCTAATCTGAACCAGCTAACACTGTGCCCATCGCTACCCTTCCTGCTCACTGGCTCCCATCCCTCAGGCTTCAGACCAGTCGTGACTCTCGTTTTGCAACCAATATTAGCAGGTTTAAACGCCCCCTCCCCCAACACACACACACACACACACACACACACACACACACACACACGCTCAACCATGGTCTCGGATTGACCCTGGGATACCAGGGGACAACTGTGGGCTGGATTCTTGAGAGAAATGGGTGGTGGCATGGCCTGAGGTCATTTTCTCTCCCTAGGCATTCCTGTGGCCTTTGTGGCCATTACCTAACAGTGCAACCCCATGACTGCATGACTTCTGGACACTACTGGCTCCGTGCTCACACCGATGACATCTGGGCCTTTGTGGGGCCCATGTTGTTTGTGCTGATGGTGAACTCGGAGGTGTGGGTGCCACAAGGGAGGGACATATCAGGAAGAGGGGATTTCTCTTGCCCACTGGCACCCAACCTCCAGGACAGCACCTGCATCCTTGTCTGTGTGGTGATGGTCACCGCGTCCAGTGCCCACCGTCGTGCATGCGTGCTGAGCCCACAGCCTGGTCTGCAGCAGAAGATCAGGTTCTGGATATGGTAAGTCCCAGCAGGGGGACATGATGAGACTGGGGTGCAAGGCCAGCTGACACCCCACATGAGCCTGGTTGAGTATAAACATGATGAGTCTGTGTTGGGATGTGTGGCCAAGTGTGAGTGAGACCTTGTGAAGCAGAGGAGCACATATGTCCTTACTTAGATGGCACGTATGCTTGGGCACTGTGTATACCAGCCACTGTCCCAGGGCCTCCCTGTCTGCAGGAGATGCTGAAAGTTTGCTTGAGACAAGACAGGAGGACTCCCGAAGTCAGGCCATCCCCAGTTTAGGGTCAGAGGAAAGATCCAAGTCTCCAGCTCTACCAAGAGCCCTTCCCACTCCCCATGGCTGCTGGAGTATGATGGGGTGACCTCCTCCATGCCCTTCTTCACTTGACCCATCCCCATACAGCATGACCACTCAAGTCAGCAATTCCCTGAGAAGACAGGGAGCCCAGGCTCCTGGAAAAGGGGTGCAGAGCCTTCCTGGCTCATATGGCCCATATCTCTGCCCAGTTCTGGGCAGTTGCTCTCATTTTTGCAAACTAGGCTTGGGGTGAAATCTCATCCCCTACTAAGAAGGAAGTAAGGTCCATCCAAGGGCTTTGCAGAATGTTCTTCCAGCCGGCAGCTGCAGGCTGTCTTCCTGGCTGCTGCTTCATCCATCAGACCTGAGGGGGCATGCTGGCCTCTTAGATCTGCCTCCTTTCCCCACAGGGCTCTGGTAAAGCCAGTGCTGGCTCTGCCACCTGTCCTGGGCCTGACCTGACTGGTTGGCCTTCTGGTGCACCTGAACCCAGCCTGGGCCTATGCTGCTATGGACCTCAATTCCTTTCAGGTATTTCTAGACCCTGGCCATGTAAGATGTGGGAGCTCTGGTTCACTGGGTGTGTGGTTTGTCAGAACTAAACAAGGGGTAAGGCTCAATCACAGAAAGCATTCTACAGCAAAGTGGAGCATGCTAAAAAAAAAAAAAAAAAAAAGGACATGGCAAGTGGTGTCATCACGTCCACAAGCAGGACATGAGAGAGGACTTTTGGCTCATTGGACATCTGAGGAGGCTGAGTCCTACCAAGGGGGAAGTCAAAGGTCATGGTATCTGAACCCCTTCAAGGATCACCAGGAGGCAGAGACAGGCGGATCTCTGTGAGTTCGAGGCCAGACTGGTGTACAAGAGCTAGTTCCAGGACAGGCTCCAACGCTACAGAGAAACCCTATTTCGAAAAACAATAAATAACTAAATAACTAACTAAATAAATAAATAAAACAAATGAACAAACAGAAACAAAAACAAGACAAAAAACCTTCATAAAGACACTGAGGGTATATACAGTTAGTTACTTGCCCAAAGTTGCAAAGCAGGAGGAAATAAGATGGGTCCTACATCCTGCTGTATCTGGGCTTTTTGTTGTTGTTGTTTTCTGAGGCAGGGTTTCTCTGTGTAGCTCTGGCTGTCCTGGAACTTATGATGTAGACCAGGCTGGTGTTAAACTCACAGACACCCACCTCCTTGCCTCTGCCTCCGAGTGTTAAGATTAAAGGCGTGTGCCACCACTGCCTGGCCTGTATCTGGATATTTAGTCTCTTGGGTAGCCCACTTTGCCTGCAGATAGGTCCTTGAGAGGGGAGCCCTAACCACTACTCATCCGTTCATGTCACAGTCAGGTCACCCACCATGTAAGGTGCTGGGGATACAGCAGAAAAAAGTCCCATTGAAGGTGACATCCAGAAAGTAGAGGCTGCCTAGGACCCAGATAAAGGGTGGCACAGTGGTGAGGGGACAAGGCAGGGATGGGAAAGGACCTGGCCTACGTGGGCCTGGGAGACTTGGCTATTCTCTGCTAGCTTAGCATTGAAAAAAACTAAAGGAGCTGCTAGGGAGGGTTAGTAGGGGAGTAATGGTCACCCAAGGATGTGGACCTGAGTTCCCATCTCTAGTACCCACATAAGACGTTGGGTGCCGCAGCATGTACCTATGATCCCAGCTCTGAGGACATGGAGATAAGAGGGTCCTGGACCTTACTAGCCAGTCAGACTTGCTGATGATGGACCTTGACTAGAGATCAAGCGAATGGAAATTGAGTTTGAGACCTCACATCGACCTGTGTCCACCAAAGGCATGCATTTGCGTGTGCCCCACACCCCTGCAGAAACACATGTACACACCATCAAAAACATCTGCACACGAGAGGGTGGGGCAAGAAGAAAGAGGGCCTCACTAAAGAAGACCCCGGCAATGGTAGAGTAAGCATGCTCCCTAGGACCCTGTTGGCCTAAATGCAGAGAACTGGGTACTGTGTCCCCTCTCCTGGCATAGCTTGGGGTCCCCAGTACTCAGAGGCTCTGTCTCAGGTCTGCCCTATATGTCTGAGTGATCCTGGGGAAGTTTCTCTGGCTCAACATAGGTGACAGAAGCTCGTTGTCATGGTGATACTCCAGCTTGCCGCCACTGCCCCTTCATGACCAGGATTGGTCTCCAGTCCTGCTTGGAGGGCTGACTCAAATCAGAGGCGCAACAGCAGACAGACAAACCAGATTCTCCATCCTCCTCTCCCTCCCTATCCTCCTGACCTGTGGCTTCTTTCGTTTCTGAACTTTCTCTGATTCTTTCTGTCTCTCCTGTTTTCTCTGCCTCCCCTCCCCTCTGTTGATATTGTTTTCTGCCATCGCCACTAGGCTTGTCTCTATCCTCTAAACCCTCTCCTCCCTGTCCGTAGCCCCTTCCCTGCCTCTGTCCCTGGTTCCCGTGGGTATGGTACTGTAAGACAGGCCCCTGACTCATTCTAGGCTATGTCCTAGGAACCTGGGTTCCTTGTGACTTCCCCAGGCCTGGCTCTCCTTTTCTCCCCTGCTTTCTGTCACATCGTCCATCTTGTTGTCTCTTCTCCTCCACTACGCCTGCAGCCCTGCCCTTCTGTCTTGGGCATAAACTGGGCAGGATATACATCAGGACAGTGATGTAAGGTCCAGAGAGACCAGAATGGGCCCAGCCTCACTTGTTCTTCAGAGGCGATTTTGTTTCCTTCTGACCCACAATGTCTGGTTGCATGGCAAGAGAGCAACATCTCATTTCTGTAACCAGCTGTAGCTCACATCTACCCTGTTAGACCTGTCTAAGGGGGACTGAAGTCCTCCACACCTCAAGGAACATCCTGGTGGTACAACCAAGATAATCTCTAAAAAGAACTGAACACACCACCTGATGCTCACCAAAGCTCTGTGAATGGGGAGTTATTTGCTCATTCATTCATTCATTCATTCATTCATTCATACTTCACAGATTCTCTCCACCCCCAGGCAGTGCTGGTTCACACCCCAGAGAAAGTAGTGTTTTGCACTACCCACCCACAGTGTGGTACCACCAAGACTGAAAGACCAATGGACAATCAAGGCAGTGTGGGAACAGAGTGGCCACTTATGGGGAAAGACTGATTCTCAGCTAAGGTGTGAAAGCTATATGCAGAGGGGGTCATTGTAGGACCCAGAGGAATGGACAACACGAGGAGGGCTGGTGAGAAATGGGGCAGGAGGGACTGTGAGGACCAGACAGTTCCGGCCCCTAAAGCTGCTGTAGGGAACTCCAATTTGATTGTAGGGGCAGAGCTATGGGTGATATCAGGCATGGTGCCAGGCATCAGGTCAGGTATGGAAGTTCAAAAAGATGCTTTTCTTTGCTGAAGAAGAATATGAAAGGGAAGTGACAGGAAAGGCAATGCCAGGGCTGCAGAAGGGACAGGTGGCTCTGGGGCTTAGTGACATGTCCTGGGGGCTAGTGGTGGGGGGTCAACTCAGTTGTGCCTGGGAACCAGGGACCCGAGGGTAGGAAGACCTAAGAGTTCAATATTCTCTGGTCTTGGCCTCAGGCTTGAACAGGTAGCTGCCTTTTATTTGTCCCATGGTCTCTGAATAAGTCCGGGTTTCAAGTCTAACCCATCGGACCACACTACCTTGGAACTCTCTGTTCATCAAACTGGGCCACATGAGACCCAAATATGGTGGTACTTTGCGGGGGGCAAGCTCTGCCCTTGCTCTGAAGGTTGGGCACTTCCCAGCCACTCCCTGAAGGAGGCAAGAGACCAGGCCCCTCTGTAGAGGTACAGGGTGAAACACGTGGTTCTGGGTCTTCAGGAAGGTGCCTTCTCCACTCCCATGGGGCCTGCAGTGGGAGTGAGCAGGCTACAGACCAAAGGGCTAGAGGGAGGGCAGGGCAGGCTTTGATTCCTTCCTGTCTCTCACTGTCCCTCAGTGTCTGTACTGTGGTCCTGTGCCCTTGATCTGAACAAAGTGGGAGGCCAGGCCACAGAGTGGATGAAGTTCCTTAGTGACATGAGGTCTGTCCTCACGGCCAGTGCATCCTCTTTGTCTATGCTGTTTATAATGGGGAGACAGCACAGTAAATGGGCTGTGGGAAAGAAATCAAGGAAGGAGCCAGGCGGTGGTGGCACACGCCTTTAATCCCAGCACTTGGGAGGCAGAGGCAGGCGGATCTCTGTGAGTTCGAGGCCAGCCTGGTCTACAAGAGCTAGTTCCAGGACAGGTTCCAAAACCAGAGAAACCCTGTCTCGAAATCTCGAAAAACCAAAAAAAAAAAAAAAAAAAAAAAAGAAAAAGAAATCAAGGGAGGGTGGACTGGGGTCCTTCTAGCCCTGGTTACCACAGATGCAAGGATGGACCCAGGGAGGTCTGACCTGTGCCACCCTGCAGGTACGGAAGGTATTATGGAGGATGACAGAGAAGGCGGCAGCAGCTGAGGTACTCAGGGGAGAGCAGGCGCCCCTGGCCGGGGAAAGGGGAGAGACCCTGGGGCAGAAGGGCAGGGCCAAGCCTGGCACCTCTTCTTTCAGACACTCCCTGGCCCTTCTGACCCTGGCTTCAGGTCCCCAGACCATGGCCCAGGAGAACCCCACAGCCTGGGATCCTCTGAGATCTGCTGCTCTTAGAGGTACAATCTCTCCACCCCCTTGCCTAGTGTTGACTGGTGCCTTGATTTCTCCATCAGTCATCCAGAGCTAGGAAAACAATGGCAGATTCTATAAGCCCACTTGAAAGACAGAGAAACTAAGACCTCAGAACCTCTTTAATATTGGGCCTCAAGGAGCAGCTTGGAAATGGCTTGTCACCCCCAATACCACCACCAGAGACTCTGGGTACCCCAGAGGTGGGGCTTACCCAGCCCTCCTATCCCAGGGCTCCTAGCAAGGAAGTGGCATGGGCCCCTGACAAAAGAGCTGGGATTAAGTACTTGGGCCTCAGTTTCCTCACCACTAATCTGAGAGTAAAGTTCTGAGCAGATTTTTAGGGTGTTTGATAATGGGGGCTCAAGGAGAGAAAACATATTTCCTGTCTTAGCCTGTGCACAATTCATCAACTACTAGGATCCCATAAACCCAGGACCCCCACTGCCTTCTATTCATTACAGATCCCAGGAGAACAGTAAGGCTGGAACAAGGGACCAGATAGTGTGATGGACAGGGCTGGGAACACAGCAAAGGCCAGGACCCGGAAGCTGGGGACTGGCTCCAGAGACCTTGTCCTCAGCACTGGAAAGCTACAGCCTGCAGGCTGGCAGACCTAAAAGCTAAGGTTCTTCGGGGAGGGACAAGGGCTCCTAGGCAAAGGGGAATGGGAGCATCTCAGGCCATGGAACTGACAGCATTTGACTTCAGGTACTGCTCTTCCTGGGCTGACCCTCACCCCTCACCCCTCCGCATCACACTGCTCCAAGATGAAAGTGATTTGAAACAACTACACAGAACCTCCCTGAAGAGAGAGACTAAGTGGGTGGAACCCTTTCTAGAGCTGGTGCTAGGCAGATGGGCCTTGACCAAGCAGCCTACCTGTCTCCCAGGCCCTCATCCCTGGCCCAGCCTCCAGGCTCCAGCCTGTGCACCTGGGTCCTTAATAAAGGGTGCCTTAAGAGCCTTTCCAAAGCACAGGGCAAGTGCCTTTTCCAACCCAAGGGGCCTGTGGGCAGCTGGGCCAGGCTGGAGACATCTCAGGCCCTACTCAGTTCTTGGGATGGGGTTCAGCCTCACTCTAGGGATGGTGGAGACAACCAGTCGCAGTGAACCACACTGAACCAGAGTTCCCACAGTCTTAGACCAACACTGCCTAATACGATAACCCGGACTGGAACTATCCTATCCTATCCTATCCTATCCTATCCTATCCTATCCTATCCTATCATCCTATCCTATCTATCATATCCTATCCTATCCTATCCTATCCTATCCATCCTATCCTATCCTATCCTATCCAATCCTATCCTATCATCCTATCCTATCCTATCCTATCCTATCCATCCTATCCATCCTATCCATCCTATCCTATCCATCCTATCCTATCCATCCTATCCTATCCTATCCTATTCTATCCTATCCATGCTATGCTACGCTACGCTACACTACACTACACTATACTATAGCCTGCTTTCTGAACACTGCTGGGGCTAGCTCAGTGTCCAACCCCAGGCCCCTGCTTGCTCTAGTCTAGTAGCCAGGGGAAGAGCCCATGGTGTTCAAGGGAGCTGCAAGTAAGCAGCCAGTGGTGCAGCAGGAACCAAGCTCATTCGCACAGAAAGGGCTAGTCATAGGGGTGTAGTTACAGACCTAGGCTTGAGGCGGCCTCCGCTTCTGGTCAGCTAAAAGGGACCGGAGCGCCCCCTGCAGACCGATGGTGGGGCGCGGGGCTAGAAGGGATTAGAGCACACAGCCGCCGGCACCCACCACCCAACCCCCCCTCCACCCAGCCCCCACCAACTGGCACAGCCGTCTAAGAGAACAAGAGCCACTGCAGCGCCTCTGTGCTCAGATGACAGCGCCTTTGTCTCTGCTGAATGGGTGCGTTGCTAAGGCTTCTCGTAGCAACGGAGTCCTTTCCACCTCGGCTCCACCCGCTGGACCCCAACCCTAGTCTGATGATCCCTGCTTTTCGCCCCCAGCTCCTCCCAACCAGGCACTCAGGCAGCCTGGAAAGGTGCGATGGGAGCGGGGGGGGGGGGAGCAGGAGTAGGGGGGTTGGGAAGGGAGTTGCTGGCTGTGTGTCCTTTCCAAAAGCTCTGGGGACGTTGGGGACACACAGGTGTTCTAACGGGGTTGAAACTGAGTCTCAGGGAGACCATGAGAGACAGGCCCGGGTGGCATGGTCTCCCCCACGCCTCTGTTCTCAAACTCTGTCTAATCTTGGCCATCCCTGCCAGTCCTGCGCAGAGAAAGGGTCACTTTCCTTACAGGGGTCTAACCGGCATGTGTAGGGTTTTCATCCCAGCCTTTGGTGAGCTCAACAGCCAGAGGACCTCAGTTTATCCTTGGAACCCCAGACTGAATGAAGCCTACAACTGGCAGCTCCAAGTGAGAGAAGCAGCTTCAATCCAGCCAGTCTGGTACTTCTGTCTGTCTTGGTTCCTTCCATTTCCCGGATGCCCTCTGCAATGTCTGGTAATAAACTAGGTGTTGGCATTTTCTGCCTGTGCTGTCCGGGGATCCTCCTGAAGTGGGATGGGTAGAGGCACAGGGCTGTCTGGGAAGAAGGGGAGACAGAAGCTGCTGCTTTTGCTTGTCACCAGGGTTGGTAGTTATAGTTAGCACTTTAAAAAACATTTATTTAGTATATGCCTATGCCTGTGTGTGTGTGTGTGTGTGTGTGTGTGTGTGTGTGTGTGTAGGTCAGGGGACAGCTAACACAGTCACTTCTCCCCTTCCACCATTCAGGCTCTGAGCATAGAGCCCAAGTTGTTTAGCATGAGTCACCTTCTCTGCCCAGCGGTTGACCAGTTCAGCATCTGCCATGTTCCTGACCTGGCGCTGAATTTACTCACTCTGCCTAGAGACCACCTTCATCCTGTCTACGACACAGGCCTCGGGCCTCCCTGCTGGCATTGGCAGTGGGTGTGGGCCCCAAACACCTAGGCAGTGTTTCCTGGAGATGCCAGGCACCGCTGCTCACAGGTAGCTGGGGCTGTCTTGGGGGTAGGTGAATGGCTGTCTCACTGGAAGTCGATAAGGAGCAGTCCAGGGTGCCCACCACCGTGAAGTCACCAGCCAGGTCTCCATCTCAGAGAACAGGACTGGCTTCAGGGCCAGGGGAAGCAGAGATGTGTTGGGCTTAACATCAGGCCTGGTGTTGGGAAGGCCCAAGACAGGAGCCAGAAAACAAAGGACCCAGACTGGGACTTTGTGCTCAAAGGTTGCCAACACCATCCAGCCTGCCTCCCTGCAGAAGTGTGTATGAAGCAAGTGAGAGGGCAGGGTAAGTGAGAAACTCAAGTCTCAGTGAGGCACAGACCATGCCAGGGGCCTTGGTGGCTTCCTCCCTGAACCCTGTGTGGGATGCTCCTGGGACACATCTTCTGGGGATCAATGGCTCACCTACAAAAGGCCAGGTGTCCAGGCATTGCTTTCTGGGGGACTGGGATGTGGAGGATTGTAAGTGCTGTCTTCCATTTGCAGAATGGGGAACAGCAGGCTCTCTCAGAAGACCTGTGACGCCGTCCTGTGCTAGTTTTGGGCATGACATCCACCCTGCATGTTCATGTCCCTGTCATGCCCAGAATGTCAGCTGTGACCAGAGACATGCAGGGCTATCGACACAGAGAAAACTGTTTCAAAGCATTGAAGGCTCTGGGTGGGAGGCCAGAGATTCACACGCGAGAACACAGCAGAGCCCTTGCCATTCACTTGGGAAGAGAGGCAGAAGCCCAGGAGGATGAAAGGCTGGGCTAGTGGCCACTTCTCCTGCAGCAGGAGCCCCGCTAAGTATCAGCAGAATGCATTCTCAGTCCCGGCAGAACCCACTGCCTGTGGCGCAAGGAGGTAGAAGGGACTGGGTCCAAGGCGGCACAAGACCATCTACACCTCTTCCCTCGCAGAAGGCCCCTGCCCCACCCGTAAAGGTTTGGGGAGCAGCAGACAGGACTAAGGGGCTCTTTCCAGCGCCTTCATCCTGCACCTCTCTTTCTCCCTGTGCCCTCTCTGCTCCTGGCAAGCACAGCCAGCTGGCATCTCCCTCTTCCGCTTATAGCCACACTGCTCTTTCTGCCTGGACTGCCCTTGTTTCTGTCAAGCCGCTGAATCCCTAGGCATCCTTCAAAACCCAATTTGAATGACCCCTCAGCCACGAAGCCTTCTCGTGTGAATCAAACCAATGACTTTCTTATCTCTGCTCGATTACACAAGGGATCACATCATATCATCTGGTTAAGACAGTCTTCTTTAAGCCTGGGCATGGCCCTGGTACAGGCACAAAGCAGGAGAGCAACATCCTTGCTGCCACCACGCTCTTTTCATGGTTGTTTCAGAGACCCTGGGTGGACCCAGTGTGGCTCTAGATTAGTTAGGTTGGTTAAAGAGGGAGGGAAAGTGGAAGTCTGCCCAGAGGCTGGGTCCTTCCTAAGCTGTGTGAATTGGCTTTGAAGAGCAGATCCAACAGGAACTGAGGTGCTGGAGCAAGAGAGGCAGGTGTTGACCTGGCTCACTGCTGCCACCTAGTGGGATGGGAAGGAGAGGACTCATCAGCAAGTGGGGCAGAAAAGGTTGGAATCTGGTTCCCCACACTGTTGGAGAAGAGCGCTCCACCCCTGCTGGAGTTACTGCAAGGACAGGGAGCTGAGGGAGGGCATATGCGAGGCATTCATGGAGTGAGTGCCCTTTCAATATGAGGTTAGAACTGGCGTGGCAGGGTGGAGCTGAGACTCCAGGAAGTCACAGCGTTTTCCAAGCCTTGTGCGTGCTGGGGTCCTAGGTATCCTAGGAGGTGGGATCTAAAGCCTAGCAGTGCCTGCTCTCTCTACACCCTGGGCTCTCCAACCTATCTTCCTCCTCATCTTTAAAAGATATTTTCAATGCATATAGTATGTAATATATATATATATTATTCAACATATTTAGATCATATCCACCTCTCACTGCCCAACTCCTAGGACTCCCTCCACATCCCCCTCCCAGCTTTGTCTTCCTTAATTTTTATAACCCAGTGAGTCCATTTAGTAAAGCCTGTATGCACATGGATGCAGGGCCCTCAAAAGAGCACTGGAGTATGGGTAGCCTCCCAGAGGTCACATCCCTAAAGAATCTGACTCTCCTCCAAGAAACCATTGACAGCCAATAACTCCTGAGCCAGGAGTGGAGAGTTCACGAATTTATCCCCATCCATGTTGGACCACTGAATGGCTTCATCTTGGGCAAGTCTTTGTTCCTGTGTGTGTGTGTGTGTGTGTGTGTGTGTGTGTGTGTGTGTGTCTATGTGTGCATGCACGCAGTGTTGACATACATAACATAACATACAGGCCAGAGGACAACTTATGGGAGTCAGTTCCCTCCTTTTCCATGGGGATTCCAGGACTCAGGCCAGTTGGCCTGCTAAGCATGTTTACCCTCTGGGTCATTTCAATGGCTCCCCTCCCCAGAAGTTTGAGCTGAACACCACTTTGATGGCAGGCAGATCATTGTCACCACCCAGAACCGACCCCAGGGACGACATCTTGCTTCAGAATGCAAATTCACAAATGCTACTGGAAACTAATTGCAAAATTTATTTCAGGGCTGCAGGGGTGCTGGGCTTGTAAGGGCACTTCTTGTTTCTAGGTAGTGGGTCTTGACCTTGGCAGGGACACACATTTCAGGGGCAGAGGTGGTGTCTGAGTCAGGATGGTGGCAGGCAGGAGACAGCCTTGTCCAGCTGGGCAGGCTAGCATAAGCTGTACGTCTGGCATGAAAGCAGGAAAGGCTAGGGAACCCCAGCCTGGAACAGAGGACGGCTTAGGCCTCTCCCCTCAGTGCCTGGCCCCGCAGAATGACTTTCAGGATGTAGAGAGGCCAGCTTCAAGACTTATGGCAAGGGATCCAAAAGGATGGAGTCATGAGAGACTCCTCGGCACTGTCCCCATCTAGAGACTCCTGAGTCCTCCTAGGTCCCTGTACCCCACCCCTGCAGGGACTCTAGGCCACTGCTGGTCGCCTGCTGTTGTCATAGTAGAGAAGGAGGAGGGCAAGCTACAGCTCTCTCTGGAGTGAGCAGGGTAAGCAAAGATGAGCAGGTGCCACCTTGACTCTTGGAAAGAGATACCAGGAAAACTTGGTGCCCTCAGTCTGTCTCGGGCTGTTTCTCTTTCACACACCTTCCAAGGACTGTCCAGCAGGAAAGGAAAAGCAAATACCAAAGAATCTTGGTGACTGCAGCCCCGCAGGTAAGTACCAGCCCAGCCGCCAGTAATGACTGGGCGGGGCGGCGGCAAGACTGTTGACTCCACTAGACTCCGCCCCCCTAGGTCACAGCTGGGAAGATGGTAACAGCAAAGCCTTTTTTCATGGAATGGATCAGAGTTAGACAGGTGGAGGGCTGGAGAAGGGTCTTTTCGCCCTCTAGGGAAAACAGGCCCTACCCAATTTAGCAGACTCAGTGTACAGCAGTGGACTTCCTTCTCTTCTTCGGAGGAAGTCTGGAGACCCCTCCCCTGCCCTGCCTCCCATTACAGGAGAGAGTGAAAGGATGACCTCTGACCCATGAGACGTCCACCAGGGAATCCCAAACCTCCTCCCTGGACCTCAGATTCCAGGAAAGAAGTTGGGGGCGGGTGGAAGAAGGAGTGGTTAGAAGCCACCTCTTTGGGGCACTCTAAGTGGCAAATATGTGCCAGTGGCTGGTGAGGGCAACCTGCCCCAGGCAGACCCTGCCCATCTTTGCCTGCCATCCCAAACACACAGCTCTGGAGCTCAAGGGCAGGGGCCTAGGGGCAAGGCTCCCGGATCATCTAATGCAATGAGTCATTTGGAGGCAGTGGTATCCCTACCTACTGCCTGCCGCCAGATGCCCAGGCTCAAGTCTGCTTGGCCTGCAGCATCTCAATGAGAAGGTTGTTGCGGGGCATCTCGTTGCCCAAATGCTTGTGGTACAGGTACTCCTTGGCCTGCATGCTCAGTGCCCTCACCTCCACCAGGCACAGTAGTAACTGCTGGAATTTGTCCCCGCAGTGCGGGTAGTGACACAAGGTGTAATCCAGCAGGGCAGCGTTGGCTTTCTCCTGGGCATCCTTCACCAGGCTGTGGTTGTTCAGGAATTTCACATCTGCAACAAGAGCAGTCCGTCACCCTCCGGTCACTATGCCGTTACCACAGCTGGGCTGACACTGTCACCAGTGTTACAAACACCACATTCCCAGGGGATACCAAACCCATGGTGCAGAGACTGCCATGACCTTCTCAACGGCAACCTCCCTATTTTCACCCTGTGGCCACCACACCACCACTGACGTCACTTTGATTAGTGCCCCCAGGTTTGTCCTTGTGTTTTTTGTGATTTTTTTTCCCCTTCTCTTTCTTTCTTTCACTGTCTCCTTGGGTGGCCTGGAACTCACTATGTAGACCAGGCTGGCCTTGAACTCAGAGATCCAACTATTTTTCCCTGCCTCCCAAGTGGATTAAAGGCATGTGCCACCACCCTAGAAAATCCATTTATCACCAGTATGGCCACCACCGTCACCAACCACTAAACTGTAGCACTAGCCCCATCATCACTGCTGCTGCCCTCATGGGTAGCTGACAGCCACCAAGATCAGCAGCGGCAGCGGGTGCATTGCTCTCCATTTTCTCCTCTATAAAATGGGATGCACCGGTCCCTCCAAAGATATGAGAAAGCACGTCAAAGCCTTCCCGTGGCCATCACCGCTGGTCCCCAGCATCACTGCCAACCTCACTGTCAAAAGGACCTGTCTTGGGGGACAGGCCCATGAGTACTCTGCACAAGCCCTGCAGGGCTCTGGGGCCAGCTTCTCTGCAGCACTGTTCACGGTGAGAAAGAGGGGCATGGGTGGCTGTGTGCCAGTTACATCTGCGGAGCTGTAGAATGGGCAGATGTGGAGCACATAGAGCAAAGTGGGAGGTGAAAGACAACAGAAGTTCGCAAGGCAAAGCCATCTACGTAAGTTTAAAATGATGCTGACGCGTGGCTTAGAGCAGACCATGACCTGGCACACGCAGCCCTGGTTCTCTCTCTGTGATATGAAAGACTGGAAGAGTGGGGCTGCCTAGCTCACCAGCCCTCCCCACACAGACGTGCTCTGTGAGAACAATGGAGCCCCTGAAGCCGTGGTGAGCCATGGAGGGTCAGCCACTGTGAGAGGGAGAGGAGCAGGTGGCTCAGTGGACCAAAAGTGACTGAGGCTGCTGTGATCAGTGCATCCTTGGGCCTTAGTCCTGGGCTAGACACAAAAGAGGTCTTTGGAGTCGGTTAGGAGTAGCCGCCCTGTGAAAAAGTGCCTGCCTATTCTGCAGAGAAGGGGACTGGAAATGGGGTGCTTGGGCCTTTTTCCTTGTCACTCAAGCCCATCACAGCTCCCAGACTCTGTTAGCTCACGCCCTGCCTAGAGGTTTAACATCCGCCCCCAACCCTCAGAGCCTACCCTGGTCTCCCTGAGGCGTAGCTTCCCGGATGTTGGAAGATAGGTCACTCTTCTGCTGTGCTCCCTTGGGGCACCCTAGTCTTTCTACTGTGGTGGAGTTGGGCCAACATGCGCTCTCGGCCCTCTAATCCCTCTTAACACCCACTGCGCCAAGAAAGCTGGGGTGCCTGGCAACCTTGATCCTCAGCCGCCCCCAGCACAGCCGCTGGGGCGTGTGTTGTCCAAAGATGGATTTAGGGAAACCGGAGCTGGGCCTGAGTCGTATGGCAGTATTTGGCAGCTGACCTCCACCCCGGCTCCCATCACCCTCTAATATGTGAGCCAGGGTCATTTTCTTCCTCGCCTCTCTGAAATAGCCACTAGGTCATGAGCCATCTTCATGTATTTTAGGAAAAAGCTCCCTTTGGAGAGCTGCACCTAGGTCCGAGCCCTGTCCCTTCCCTGCCTCCATGCCCCTGTACAGGGCGACCTACCCAGGTCTACATAGCAACCTGCTCCCTAGGAGCCTGGCCAGCTTCAGTATACTTGCAGGTGATCCTAGGAAATCATTCCACCAAGCTGATCGAAGCAAGAGATGCCTACTGATCCCATATGCCTTTGCCTCGATCCCTTTCCCGGTACCACCCATCATCACCCCCATACTGTCCTTGGGCTAGTCTGATTGGCAGTCATAATAGGAGAAAGATGGGATCTATCTCAAAGATAACCAGAGGGAAGAGCTGAGGAGGAGGAGGAGGAGGAGGAGGATGGGCCAGGGTGCTGCTCAGATGGTGGGGTAGGAAGGGCCGGGGACACCAGGGCCGAGGCCTTCTTGGCTTTACCAGGATTTACTGTTCTCAGCAACAGCATCAGGGACTCAGGATGGCAGTGGAGTAGAAGGGGGAGGGTGCAGAACAAGGGCGGCTTCAGGGACAGCCTCTCTCCCAGAGGGCCTCTGGTCTCTCAGGTCCCACAAATGAAGACCTCCATGACCTTAGACCTAACTTCTCCCTCACCAAGAAACCACTTCCCATACCCCCAGTTCCCAGCTTGTCACGGAGAGATGGAATATTGTCACATACCACTGAGTGTGGTACCTTTGCCCCTCAGACCCAGGAACAGCAGTCCCACTACCTGGACAATCAGCTCTGCAGCCAGAGGCCCCTTCCGAACCTCAGTTTCTCCCTTCTATATGGGGCAGGTCAGGACCAGGATCCTCACTGAGCTCCAGCCTGAGGCTTGAGCCTGCAGACTACATCCCTGGAGGCGGAGGTGAGCGGGAGATGGCACCCCACCCTGGGAGTAGCCGCTAGCTCCATGAGCTGGAGCCCCCCCAGGATCTCAGAAAAGCCCCCTTTTCACGGTTTAATTGAATATTTGAATAATCCTTTCATTCCAGCAAGGCATAAAGAATGTTGTCCCAATAGCAGTGACTCAGGCAGGCGCCCCCGCACACAATGGCCCCTCGAGTGGCACTGCTATTCAGTCCGTCTTTTGTTGGCTTGGAGCAGTGGGTAAATTGCAAACGCTTAAGGGAATGCTGCCGTGCGCCTCAATGGGAATCAGGAAATCGAATGTTAGGTCAATCCATTAAGCTTCGATTAAGTCCTCGGTGGAACAATGCCGGCCGGGCCCATCTTCATAAACACTGCGATTGCCAGGAGAGAGGCACTAATTTTAATTAAGCCTCCTTACCTGCCTCTGAGCTACCCGAGATGCTATTTAGACGCCAAATGGCACCCTTCTGCAGAGACAGGCGAGAAGGAGGCGTGTAGAGGGGGACGGGGCGGGTGAGTGGGTGGGTAACAGCCACTGCCTGAGGTTCAGGCTGCTGAGGGTTCCACAAGCAGGCTGACTGGAAGTCCTGTGTTTAAGATCACCCAGGTACAGGTGTTGCCTGCTGCAAGGCTCTGGGCTGTTCGCCTACCATCTGACCCCAGGCTTCTGCTAGAAGGGCCCCACCTTATATGGTGATATGCAGATGTGAGGTGGTTGTGTTATTCCCAGAATGGGAGCCATCCCAGAGGAAGGCCACGCAATAACCATGGCCATGCACAGTTCAGCCCCTATGCATCCTGGCCTCATCGCTACCCTTTCCTCTCCCATAACTTCCAATCGACTGATCCTTCTGTTTGTTTCACCAGGACTCTCCTATTCACACTGCAAGGCTCAGCTCAGATGGATCCACCTCATCCTGCATCCAGACCAAGCAGAGTTGCCCTAACTCTGCTTACCTCTCCCAATGTGGAATCTCATGGATCCTGTGAATCAGTTTGCCTCTGTCACACCTGTTCTAGGCTCCAGGAAGTTAAGGTTCCAGGATCACTGCCTCGACACCCCCATCCTCACCCAACTTCAGACCCACTAAACTCAGCCACCATGGCCAGACCCCATGCCCAGAGACAAGAAAGCCCTGAGCCAGACACAAACCATGTGATAAAAACCGAGCCCGTAGCCTGCTTTGTTTGTTCACTTTGCTCTCTGGCTCATTTGTTTATGGCCTTAATAAGGATGATTAATAAGACCATCAGCGCACACTTCCAAGGGCCAAGACTGTGGTAGAACTGTCTCATTATCCTTGCAGCACGTCAAGAACACTTACAGCTGTCATTTCACACAGGGAGAAACAGAGGCTCA